AATACCCCTAGAAACGACCCTTTTAGATCCAGTGAATCGACATCTGCCCCCTACTAGGCGAACCAATAAGCGTAGGTGATTCGGCAGTCATAAGCTTCCCAGAACAATCAAACTAGAACATACCAGTCAAGAATCTTCTGTTGTTTTTCGTAATCTGTACTATACACGTAAGCTTCAAGGCAACACGTTATGTGGAAGGTGGCCGCAGTTGAACATCCGGAGATCGCGTCCCTCCCTTATCGGGCGTTGACAGAGGAATGCAACTGTAAACACTGAGTTAATACCTATACAAAGAGTTCGACCCATGATCCGATTCGGAGGCAAAAAGTAGAAAACACGACCCACCTACACGACGCGCAACGAGCACCAACGGGAATGGCCAGTGCTTGGGTCCGTAAATAGGCCTTCAATAGCTCGCGAACGTCACCGCGGGTCGACTCATGACATCCTTGTTGGAGCTCTACATGGGCTTCGTAGTTACGGAGCACACTGACAAGAGCGTTCCTCAATCCTGGTACGGACATTGTTGATGGGATCTGAATTCGAGATGTTTGATAATATTCTTTTCAAAGAACAGCTATAAAAACTTTTGAAGCGCGAACTTGAAGGCACATTCCACATTAATGGCGTGGGCGGAGACTCATAACCATTTCGCCATCCTCACTGCTCGCCCTTCTTCTTACGATGTTAGAGCGAACGGAGTACTAATGGAGAACACAAAATGATGAGTCTCTACCCATCTGATAACCACGGAATCTGTCTACAAGTGGAAAATCTGAAAATAACCCCTTAATGTACCTTTTGAATTACTCGTAGGGGATCGACATTACTGCCAGCATGATGAAGTAATTGCGCGACATGGGTAGGTGTTTTCATAACTTCCTCGATCAAGCGTGTCCATAGGTCCGGATCGTCATGTTCTAAAAGTTGATTGACGTTAACCCATTCGTTTGTTTATTTGTTACTGCTTGCCGCCGCAATTCAAAATGGGAACGTTAGCTCAAAAATCGCAGTTCTGAGGGAACTCTGTTCCACCTCGGACGATATCAGGTCTGGCAAACGAAATTAGTATTGTAGTTCCACAGCTGTCGAAGCGTTCCACCATTCTCGCTGTCCGAAAGTGCGCAGGAATTAAACCGGAGGGCCGGAGTAGGTGATCTTCCTCTATAACTCTACCGGAACATGACACCTGAGCACGCAACACGCTGCACGACCAGCCATACGCCTAGCGATGCCGACGCACTACTTGTCTCTACCTTCTCACGACTGACGCCATTGTTCTCTACAGCTCTTCGGCTGCGTATGTGGGCAGCATGCCTATGCATTCTCTGCGGGACGTGATTCTTACAAGATCTCATGCCGCTAGCAGACAACGTCGTACGTCAGGGAACCCACAGTGGAGGTGGGGGGGGGGTCGTATTTCGTCGCTTGGGGAGGGCGAGAGGTAGTATTTTGTTAGAAAAACTTTTTTGATGGTTGATTTTCTTGCTTCACGGACGCTGAAGGGGAGAGTCGTATCCGCTAGTTGTTGGGAGAGGAAGAGGGAGTCGTATTCGCCCCTGAGAGAAACTTTCGGGGTTGGAGAATTTTTTTTCGTTGTTGACTTTCCGCAGTTTTCCTCCCATAAAACATGTCCCCACACGGAAAAGTGAAGGTTGGGAAAATCTAGGAAAGTGATAGGTAGGATGGGGAAGGGGGTCGCACCAGATGAGGGATTGAAGAGGGTCGTATTTTCCGAAAATTCTCTCCAGCAGCAGGACGTGAGCTGCACAAAGTGCGCACGCGATATCGGAGTGGAGTCACAAAAGAAGATCCGAAGATTTCTACCATCGAGAGGGGGGGGAGAAGGGTTCAACTAGTAGGT